AACCTGTTATTGCACAGTATTACATAGCCAATTGTGTTAGTTGGGGATCTAAGCTAACTTTGTTGGACTTAGGAACAAACTGGACTTAATGAATGTGCTCTCAGAATGGAATCTGTATGTAGGGGACTTACTGTATACTCTTAAATTGACCTCAGCTCACTAAACAAAGATTATCAGGAGAGAGAGAATGTCTACCATATAAAAATGCTGGGTCAGAATCTTCTCTGAATCTGATAGATTTATATCCCCACCCATGTGGATACATATATATCCATGTGAACTAAAACATTCACAGGTGATTTTAGCAGAAGAGAGATGCTGAGTTCTAGGGGCTCTTGCTTGTTTTAGTTCTGTTTTCCTCTGCGGATTTCTCGGGACTCACTCAAGTTCACATAGAGCAGGCCTTGAAGGCTCAGGTCTGCTCTGGTCAGCTGCCAGAGCTGCCTTGTCCTGTTACCTCTAATCCATGTCTGAGCACCCTGATCTCCGGACACCATCGCAGGAACCTTGGCCATATCCCAAATGGAAAAACAAACAAACAAACAAAAATGCTTATGTTTACAAAAGGTGGAAAAGTAGAAAAGTCAATTGTGCCTACTGGTGGCTTAGATGGTCAAGAATCCATTTGCAATGCAGGAGACCTGGGTTCGATCCCTGAGTTGGGAAGATCTCCTGGAGAAGGGAATGGCAACCTACTGCAGTTTTCTTGCCTGGAGAATTCCATGGGCAGAGGAGCCTGGCGGGCTATAGCCCATAGGGTCGCACAGAGTTGGACACAACTGAAGCGAATATGTGCACACATTTCCCTGGACCTCAGCCTTCAGAGGACTGCCACTCTGCCCCGCTGTGACAGGCTGCTGGCAGGAAACCCTGCCAGAGGCAGGGAGGACCCTGCTGGGTGAGATGTGTCTCTTGGCACATGACAGACACACCGCTTTGGGGGAAGTTCTACTTACAAAGAGTTTCCAGAGAAAGTAACAATTTCTTAGAATTTAGCCATAGGCACTGAGCACAAAGTCAGAAATTAATGAATTTGCAACGTCCTTTTGGACAGAAATACGACGCGTCAAAGGCTTCCTTGGTGGTTCAGTGGTAAAGAACCCGCCTACCAAGGCAGGGGATGCTGGTTTGATCTCTGGGTCCAGAAGATCCCCAGGAGAAGGAAATGGTAAGCACTCCAGTTTTCTTGCCTGGGTAATTTCATGAACAGAGGAGCCTGGCAGGCTACAGTCCATGGGCTTGCAAAGAGTGGGACAGGACTGAGTGACCAACACTTTCACTTTATGCCTCTCTGAGGCATCTTAAATTTAAGAGAACATATGAATTTGCACAAACAAACACTGACTTGGTCAGTTAGTGCCTTTTTGGATTTTATTTTTTTTTCAATAATATTTGAAAAGATTACAAATGTAATGCCCATCATAGAAAATTTACAAATACATAAGTACGAGAAGAGTCCACCAGTATCTTTTGCCTTTGATGTTACTGCATTTTTTTCTAGAAACACATACTTTTTTGTACATGCATGTATTTTATATCTGCCTATGCCATAGTTTTACTAAACTGGCCAGGTTTTATCTACATATATCTATGTCTATATACACACCTGCTTTTTTCTTTCTTCACTTTGTATTACACACTTTCTCTAATCACTTTCTATTCATTAAAACCTGATTTTATGAGCAGTAGAGATTCCAAACAATGCATTATATCCGATCATTTTTATAGCTATAAAGCTAGAATTCTATCTGTTTACATCCTCATTAAACTTGATAATGTATTTTCTGGCACTTCAAAATAGTTTTGTATTATGTAGGAGCATAGTTTGAAGGAAAACCTTTTGAAAAACTATAATTTGGTTGAAGTAACTTTGAAGCCTCTTTATAAACAACAAAGTTCCTTTGTATTTTAACTTATGATGGTTTCAGCAAAACTTTCTTAAATAAATTCTTTGTCCCCCCCCTTAAAAGAATTTTGTAAGAAAAACAATCAAACTGTATAGATTTTCATTTAGACTTCTGGAAAAAGTCGTTACGGTTCTATTATTCATTTTAACCTCCTCAACTTAGGAAAGAATTTCTGATATCACAAATTACAATATGAAGTCCAGCATTCTAAGGTGGAAAATCACACACCATAACGTTCCATGGAAGCAGCTAACACTGTGGAAGAAGGGCTCTATCTTCGGATGATGTCCATGAATGTTATCTTCTGACCCCTGGCTTCTCTGGCCCCTGTCAACTCCTCCCGCACATGTTGGCAGAGTTGGGGAAAGGGTTCGGTGTCAGGGCATAATCTTACTAAGTGAGACACCAGTGCAGGCGTGGAAGCCATCAGAGGAATGTGCTTCAAAATCCGAGCCACAGACTAGAGGGAAAACCTGGAAGTCCGAGTGAATTTAACCTTAAAGTTTTTCTTCCTTTCCTTTTTCCTTCCTTCCTCTCTCTCTTTCTCTCCCTCACTCCCATATTCTCTTTCTTCTTTCTTTTTCTCTCTCCTTTTCTTTCCCTCTCTCTCCACCCCCTTTCCCCCCTGACGTCGCTCTCTTTCTCTCTCTCTCTCTCCCTCTCTTTCTCCTTTTTTCTCTCTCTTTCTTTTTGGCCAAGGCCAACATCATATTACCGTGTGTGTGTGCTCAGTCGTGTCCAACTGTTTTGTAACCCCATGAACTATAGCCTGCCAGGCTCCTCTGTCCATGGGATTTCCCAAGCAAGAATACTGGAGTGGGTTGCCATTTCCTTCTGCAGGGGATCTTTCTGACCCAGGGATTGAACGTACATCTCTTGCATCTCCTTCACTGGCAGGATGATTCTTTACCACTGTGCCACCTGGGAGCCCATATTATTGGACCTTCACAAGTTGGATTTCCCAAGTGGCCTGGGCCCGTCCATCCCAGAGGTTCTGAGTCATTAGGATGCACATGAGACTCAGGCGACCATGACCACAGGGCAGATCAGGGACCACTATATTCTCACATACAGGCTTTTCTTCCTTCCAGTTTTACTGAGCTTGCTTCCCAGGGTACAGCAGTGTGGGGACTGGGCCCCATGATGTACAGTGCCTCAAAGGAAACTAGAAGAACCCATATACCTTTGTTTGGCCATCTTTAACTTACTTGATACTGAACATGTTCAGAACTCATCATGGTCTGGTGCCCAGAAGAACCAGGTGGGATAACTGAAGTGCCTGACACCCCTTCGTATAATACCTGGTACATGGTAGGTGCTGGCCGACTGGTCCATTCCCCCGGTGGGAGAGTTCTAAGTGGCTGAATTAAGAACCGCAGCTCAGGGACTCCCCTGGTGATGCAGTGATTAAGAATCTGCCTTGCAACGCAGGGGACGTGGGCTTGATTCTTGGTTGGGGAACTAAGATCCCACATGCCGTGAGGCAATGAAGCTTGTACACTGCAACTTGAGCCCGGGCTCTAGAGACTGTGAGCTGCAACTAAGACCTGATACGAGGCAGATAAATAAATATTAATTTTTTTTTTTAAAGATCCTCCCAAAAGGCAAAAGCTCCTGTGAATCAGGGAGAGATTCAAGACAGAGAGCACTGACCCAGGACAGGAGAGAAGGCAGTGCTGGGGGTTTGCTTCTCAGAGTGGAAGGTCACAGTCAAAGAGGCAATGAGCCTGCGTTTCCTAAATTATAGATAAGTTTAAATGGGAACACACAGTTACAGAAGCTGTAGAAGGGCCTGGAGCTAAGTTTAAATGGGAACACACAGTTACAGAAGCTGTAGAAGGGCCTGGAGCAGCCCTCGGGGACCACAAACAGCTCGAGAACCGAGCCTACAGAAATGCTAATGCTGACACATTTGGGTTACAGGTAGGAATTATATTTCAGGATGCATTTCCATTAATCCTGACTCAATAAAATAGTTCCTTTAACAGTCACTCAAAGTAAAACGATTTCAAAAATAGTTTAGAAAATAGCATGCTGTGATCTAAACAGATACTTTTGCATATTTATTTTGATTAAAAACCTGGTAAGGGGGCATGCTGGGGATGAACCCAGCATGGATTCCATTCTACTTTCTCATTCCTTCCCAACAAGGATTCCATTCTACTTTCTCAGTCATCCACTCCCGAGAACACTCAGATCTTGGGTCCACAGGGCCATGAGGAGCTGGAGATATGACCACAGTGGCCAGGGCGAGGTTGGGAACATGACTACGGTGTCAGAGGAGAGGCCAAACCTCAGTAGCAGGGGTTTCCAGCAACCACAGGATGGGTGCTTTTTCACATTACTCCCTCATTTGGGGGCCTTGTGGGTAAAGGGTTCTGCCTCCCAGAGGAGCTCCCGGAAGAGGGGTGGAGGCCTTTCTGATGCTGCCAAGACTGAGAGTCATAGCCCACGGGCCTTTACTGCAGGGCAACCAGCTGACTTACAGCTGCCAGAGGTAAAGGCCATTTCATTTTGGAGATGTCTCGCCAGCTGGATGGCTTTCTGAGTTCATCAGAATCGTCCCCCAAGGTCCAACTTCTAATGTTGTTCTGTTGGAAGGGCTGTGAATCACTCCATTTTCCATCAGTAAGGGCAAGACTGCATATCCAAAAGTTCCCCAAAGAGCTATAAAATACATTGGGGTTTTGTGCCTCTCTCCTCAGCTTCCCCTCTCAGACCACACCTATTCTGTGCAACTGTTCCACCTGCAAGGCGCCTGCCTGAAGACCTCAATAGATGTGCGAATCCACACAGAAGAATCTGCACCTGCATCTGACTCGATTCTGTGAGCTGTCAACTCAGAGCCTGCCTGGGACTCAAGGGCCTCTTCCTTTTTGAAATTTCCTATCTTGGCTTGGCTGGAGAACATGAGGGGAATCATTTAATGCTCCACTGTCTCAGCTATGAAATCCCCAAGGGAAAACTGTGCAAATGCATGAGTGATTTGACCGTGTGTTAGAATCACAGAGCTCTGTACCTGCAGACACAGACAAAACATGCTGTAATTAGGGGAGGGGATAATTGCATGCAGCTGCGAGTCACCAATATCACCTGATCTTGGGATTTCTTTTTCTTCTTCTTCTTTCCCCAGCACCCGGAACTCTCCGCATCTTTGCCATTGGCCTCACCGCAGAGCAGCCCGTCCAGCTCATCGGTGCCCATGTGCTGTCCCTGAGACGTTTCTGCTGCCAGCCGGTACGAAAGATTCCTTAAAATGCACACACAGTTTTCAACGGTCTGGAGAATAAAAACAAAACGAAACAAAAAACGAGGGATGAATAAAAACTAACCAGTACTCCTCCACCCACAAAAGCCATCCATCTTCACACAGACATTTTTTTCTTTGGGTGCATTTAACCGCGGCTCCTAAAGTCTCCCTTGACAGCCACAATGGAAAGAATTTAGAGAAGCTTGGAGAAGTCTGAAGATCTTTCCTCCCAGCAAAGAAACCACTTAGCAACAAGAGTTCCTGATAAACAGCCATCGTTGTTGACTGAAATTCACTTGTGAGCAAGAAAGAACCCATATCCAGGCGCGGTCCCAGGTGGCGTCCACTTGCAGACAACAGCCATCTGGGGACTAAGGCTCAGAACCATCAAGAGCAAGGATAATTGGATTTCCGCTAGCTCTGGGAGGGTGACATTTACTATCACTGTCACTATAGGCTGACACTATACTAACATTTACTATCCACCAGGGCACTTTCTTAGTGAGGGGCAGGGGAGCCCGGCGTGCTGCAGTCCACGGGGTCACAAAGAGTCGGACACGACTCAGTGACTGAACAACAAGGGTACTTTCTGGGAGGAATACAGGGCAAGAGGTGCAAACCAGGCTTATTCCAGGCAAGCCAGGTTCTGTGGTCACCTGGGAACATATATGTTTCCAACCTACTGATTTTCTTCAAGATTGCTGGTGCTCCTATTTCCTAAGCACAAGGGCTAAGCAGTGATTAGGGATGTGGGAAGAGCTGGACGTCTGTAGAACCCTAGATCTCTGACTATTGGACATGTGACTTGGACAATCCAGCCATGACCTCCTGTGTAAGATGGTCAAAATAGCGGCCAATAGGCTGCTGTGTGGATTAGGGGAATTAGAGAATATACATGTGATAGGCAGAATAAAGCTCTCTGCTCCAAAGATGGCCACATCTGGAACATGTGAATATGTTAGGTTATGGGATGGAGGGCATTGAGGGTACTCATCAGTGGACCTTGGGATGCCAGATTATCCTGGACTGTCCAGGTGGGCCCATAGAATCATGAGGGTCCTGTGAGCAAGAGAGGGAGGCAGAGAGAGTGAAACTGTGTGAGAAAGACCGGATCTGGCATTGTTGGCTTTAGAGACAGAGGAAGGAGCCACGAGCCAAGGAACGTGGAAGCTTCTAGAAGCTGTTAAAGAAAAGAAACAGATGCTTCCCTACAGTTGCCAGAAGGAATGCAGCCCTGTCAACACCTTGATTTTACCCCAACAAGACCCATTCTGGGGACTTCCCTGGTGCTCTAGTCTGATCCCTGCTTGAGACTTCACCTTCCAATGCTGAGGCTGTGGGTTTGATCCCTGGTGAGGGAGCAAAGGTCCAAACAGGCTTCTCAGCAAAAAAAAAAAAAAAAAAAAAAAAACCCACCCAAAACCCATAAAACAGAAGCAATATTAAATTCAACAGAGACCCATAAATTCAATAATGAGACCCAATAAATTAAAAAAAGAGACCCATTCTGGACTTCTAAAATGGTAAGATGATAAGTTTGTGTTTCTTAAATTTATTTTTGGCTGTGCTGGGTCTTCGTGGATGCATGGGCTTTTCTTTAGTTGCAACAAGTGGGGGCTACTCTCCAGTTGCACGGTATGAGCTTTTCCGTGTGGGGCCTCTCTTGTTGTGGAGCACAGGCTCTCGGCATGGGCTTCAGTAGTCGTGGCTCCTGGGCTCCCGAGCACATGCTCAATAGTTACACACAGGCCTAGCTGTTCCTCGGCATGGGGGTCTTTCTGCACCCGGGATCGGACCGTGTCTCCTGCATCGGCGGGTGGAGTTTTTACCACTGAGCCATCACGGAAGCCCAGGTCTGTGTTTTTAAACCACCATGTTTGTGGCCATTTGCTATAGCAGCAGCAGGAAACTGAACCAGTGTGTACGTACCAAGAAGAGCTCCTGGCACACAGCAAGTGCCATACAAGGAATTATATCACCAACAAAGGTGGAGACGGCCCGTCTATGGAATGTGCAGAGCTTGTGACCTACAGCGAATGGGTCCGTGATGGAGTCTTGACTCCACCATTTAACGAGCCATGTGACGCTGACCGAAGGGCTCAATCTCTTAGTGCTTCGATTCCTCTCGAAGTCCCCACGGCCAAGTTGGAGATGAAGTCTCAACATATAAATCTTGGAGGAATCAAACACTTAAGTCTGGGGCATCAACCTTTTGACCTTTGTTCTGGATTTGAGGAAGCGAGGAAGGAGGGGAGAAAATATCCAATTTTCAGAAAGAATTTTTTTTACTTTTTAATTGAAAAATATTTTTTCCTTCTTAAATATTCATTTATTTATTTGGCTGTGTGGGGTCTTGGTTGTGGCACACAGGATCCTTATTGTGGTGTGTGAGGCTGTGAAGTATGGGGCTCAGCATTTTGAGCTCGAGGGCTTACATACCCCTTGGCATGGGGGAATCTTAGTTCCCCAACCAGGGAATGAACCCAAGTCCTCTGCACTGCAAGGCAGAGCCTTAACCACTAGACGACCAGGGAAGTCCCCCCAATTTTTAAAAAGGACAAAATAATGGTGGAAAGTGAAGGTCGCTCAGTCGTGTCCGACTCTTTGCGATCCCATGGACTGTACAGCCCATGGGATTATCCAGGCCATAATACTGGAGTGGGTAGCCTTTCCCTTCTCCAGGGGACCTTCCCAACCCAGGGATCGAACCCGGGTCTCCTGCATTGCAGGAGGATTCTTTACCAGCTGATTCACCAGGGAAGCCCAACTAAGTTTTATTATTTTTTTTAAGTTTAAGCATTTTTTTTGAAGTATAGTTGATTTACAATGTCATGTTAGTTCCAGGTGTACAAAAGACGAGATAAGTTTTCTTTTTAAAAGCACACCAACTTCCCTGTCACTTTTCAGGCACCAGCTGCGTGACAGCCATCATTCAAGGAAGGGAACATCATTCCACTTTACAGATGAAGGAAACAAGGTCTGAGGCCGTTGGTAACACACCCACTCACCCCTGCAGACTAGAGGCCGTACCACTTTCTCTAGTCCTGGGCTGGGACTAGAAATGGGGCAGGGGCTGCTGGAGTTCAGATCCTCCACTGCTCCCTCTTAGGACGGGAATCTGGTAAAAGGCAGCATGTAACTCTGACCTGACTACTGGAGGCATGAAAAAATCAAGCAGGAAAACCAGTTTTCAGGGTGTATTTCTGGAGCCTTTGCGATTCCAGACCTTTCAGGTCAGCTTTTCAAGGTTTCATGGGCTGCTAATCCCACAGGCTTTCAGTCAACTTGATTTTTCTATTTCAAGCATCCTCTCAGCATCAAAAAAAGGAACCGGCATGAAAGCAGGTAAACACAGGATGATGCTGGAGAGAGAGCAGTCTCTCCCCGAAAGGAAAATGTTGTGGCATAAGTCAGAACGATTTTCAAATCAGCTCAGAATGATTTTTCTTACATCAAAGAGCTGGGAGAATAAACTTCTTTCTCACCCTCTTGTTCCCCTTCCTTGGGGGCACATCCATGCCTCTGTTTAACAAATGATTACTGCGGATATATTCCACAGTTTCGAGAAGTGTTTTATAACCTACCTGAGGCTGAGCGACCTCTTGGGGAGAAGCCGATGCAGAGAGAGAAGAGAGGGAGAAAGAGGGGGGGAGGAAAGAGGGGGATGGGGCTTCTCTTATAGCTCAGTTGGTAAAGAATCCCCCTGCAACACAGGAGACCCTGGTTTGATTCCTGGGTCAGGAAGATCCCCTGGAGAAGGGACAGGCTACTCACTCCAGTATTCTGGTTTGGAGAATTCCATGGATTGTCTAGTCCATGGGGTCTCCAAAGAGTCGGACACGACCTTCCCTTTCACTTTTCACTTTGAGTGGGGAAGGGAGACAGGAGGTGGCAGAGAGGGACAGAACGGGGGTGGTCCCAGGGGTTGAACTCATCTCTCTCCTTAAGCCTGGTTTGGGAGGGTGACCAAGTCAAGTGCTTTTCCCTGTAAGGGCAGGGAGAAAAAGAGAACAGAAAAAGAGAAGAAGGGTATGCCCTTCTTAGGGATACCAGCAGAAGGCGTGTGGCAGCTGGTGGTTTGGGTTTCAACATCCATTGCTGTCAACAGAGCTTTTGGCAGATCCTCTTGGTCACCAGGGTCATTTTGAATCCTCATTTTCTATTAGAAAGGGCTAATTTGGAAGCCGTTTGTAGAACGCGCCACCATATGTTAGGCATTCAACAAACCATCCCAATTACAGGAGCCTAGCTGAGCGTAAGTGTGGCATCCAGGGTCTTTGACTCATTAACTCCAGTGGCCTCAAAGACAGCGTGCACACATTTCTCCCTCCTCTAGCTTGTCACTGTGAAAGCTTAGAAGTGGCCAAGCAGAGGGCTGAGTGGAAAAACGATGGGGCAATAATAATACGGTAAAACTCAACAGCACCTTCTGGCCAGCAAAGCACTGTCGAGTAATTTATCACATTTGATCCTCTCAATAGCTCTAAGGGTCCTCCTCATCTCAAAGATGAGGTCACTTGGGTCCTGTCCTCTGGTCATAGGGAGAAGGAGATGGTACATTTTCCAGTACACTCCTGGGGCTACACTGGGTGCTCTGGATACTCAATTAAGAAGAGCTGAGTCTCCTTTTTTTTTTCCCTTTTAATTTTTAGTTTATATTGGAGCATAGTTGGTGAACAACATTGTCTTCATTTCAGGTGTACAGCCAAGTGACTCAGCTCTACATAGACAGGCATCTACTCTTCTTCCGAATCTTTTCCTATTTAGATTATTGCATTGCAGAATATCGAGCAGAGTTCCTGGTGCTATGCAGTAGGTCCTTGTTGATTATTTACTTTAAATATAGTGGTATGTACATGTCAATCCCAAACTCCCAATTTATCCCCCACACCAAGCTTTCCCCATTGGTAACCATACATTTTTCACTTCCAACCATGTTTGTTTTCTGTGAACCTGTCTCTGTTTTTGTAAATAAGTTCATTTGTACCATTTTTGTTTTGATTCTACATATGAGCAATATCATAATTTGTCTTCCTCTGATTTTTTTCACTGAGTCTGATCACCTTGGGATCTATCCATGTTGCTGCAAATGGCTTTATTTCAAGGCACATCTGAGTCTTCTGATACCAGGCCTAAATGGTCTTTATTTTTCCAGTTTCCACTTTGTGGGGAAATGTGGTCACTAACAGAGAGAATCTTCAAGGCCTCTCAAGAATTTGAGGAGTCTGGTCATCTGACACATCAGAGAAAAGACGTGTGTGCCTCACAGCACTCTGATTTTGGACCACACTTCTGAAGGTTGCCTGACCCACCACGATGGTGTTATGGGATCAGGGCAAGACTCATATTTTATTGTCAACTAGAAGGTCCAGACAGTATTAAATATTGCTTGGTATCCATAAGGCTTAAAGCCTCCATGCCTTAGTATTTACCACTCTGAATATTAAGATCCTTGGCATTGCAGCTTCCATGAATTATGAATTACCTTGAGTAGCTCTTTTAAAAAATCCTGTGTCTATTGTGTTAACAGGTCTCTATAAATACTCAAGACATGTTGACTGTTCCCTTCTCTAGAGACTTAATTCTCCTGTCAGTGATATTAAAAGGTCTGCAATGGCTGCTAAGGGCATTTACAAGAGAGGTTGATTAAATCTTCTATATCATATTTTACTTTGGATATTGATGTCATGCACACAGTAAATGAATGGTTGCAAATGTCACTAACAGGCAGTGGTAAGATGACAAACAGTTCATAATTGGATTCAGCTAGTACTCAAAGGGTTTGAATCCCAGAAGTACCATGGACTTCTGGTCCATGGGAGTAGGGCTCCCCCATCAGTAATTTTCTAAATTTGTCAGTCACTCCACTGTGCAGGCAAGGTTGAAAAGTGCCATGCTAAATCACCCCATGCCAAAGAGAGAGTAAATGGATAAAATCACTCTTACTTGTTCTTTATCTGACCTTACAACTAAAACAACTAAATTACAGTGTGTTGGGTCCCCAACTAGAGTCTATTTTAAAGCTGTATCTACTAAGGTGGGTTTCTCAATACACGATGCACATGGAATCACCTGATGAACTCCCAGAGGAACAGAAATCAGAGGTAAGAGCTAGACATCTGGATTCAGTGGGGCTGTGAAGGGGTCTAGGCACAGGCATTTATCAAATGCTCCAAAGGCAATTCCAGTGAAGAGCTGGCATTAAAAACCATGGGTTTATCAAAATGTCTTAAGGGGAAAGCATGCCAGTTTTAGGTGAGATGGTCTTGAAGTAAGAGCCAGATGCCAGACAGTTTATTTACAGAAACCTCAAGGATTCAAGGGCTTGGAACCAGGAGGCAGACATGTATTGTGTGGGTGGATGGTTTCTCATGGCTTGCTGATTAAGCTCTGGACATCTGACAAACATGTTGACCAGAAATCATTTGACAGAGCGCTATGTACAATTAATAAATTGTATCCTGTGCAATATTAACCATTTTACTTCATGAATATGTGTATTGCCTAGGGTTTACTATACTTTGATTATGTAACATCTTATGTAATAGTACCAATAAACCAATGCACAGGCCTATATATATGAAAAAAAAAAACAAACTGTGGGATTAGGCTTTGGCTCCCCACGGTGCATCTGGCAATGTGGAGAGACATTTCTGTTTGTCACAACTGGGGTAGGGGGAGGAAGGCACTGGCATCTAGTGGGTGGAGACCTGGAATGTTGCCCAACATCCTATAGTCCACAGGGCAGTCCACAGCAAAGAAGGGGACCGAAATATTGAGAGAGTGGCTCTGGGAAAGGCCCTACTAAGGTGTCACATTCATCACATGCATTACTTTAAAGTATCGGTCAAGTCTGTGCTTATATCAGGATATTATGAAATTACAAATTTTTTATGTAAAGTGAACCCAAACTAAGTCAAAAGACAAAAGAAGACAAAACAAAATAGCCCAAACACTGTCAAAAATCCACCCAATTCTATTTTGGTTTGCGAACTAAAACACTGAATAGACACTGATGATCAATGTTTTGACAGGCTTGTTTATGCAGCATTTTGACAGCATTTATTTAGACTTCACTGGGCATTCTTAAAATGGCATTGGGCAGTATTAAGCTGTTCAAAAGCTATCTTGTAAAAATATAGGATTATTTAAATCTCAGGTAGCTTGAATATTTCTTTTTCTTTTGCCAGTGGATTTTAGAAAATGAAGCTAGAAGCTCATGGGTGACTTGCTATGTGAAAGTTTATACACTCATCTGGAACACCTGTAGCTGGAGTAATTTAATCTAAATTTTTACTTGCTACTAATCAAGAATTAAGTGTCTAGTTCTAGGCTAGGATTAGAAGTCAATACAGATTGCAGAGTGAAAGTATTAAGTGTTGCATTAACTATCCATCCTTGTTAGCCATTGTTTGATCCCCCGGGGAATCTTTGTTGTCTAAGATGCTTCATCTATGCAAATACGACAAACCTTGCTATCGATCTCGCTGCTTCCCAGCGCAGACTGAATCACATAGAGCAGCGCGTCCGTGAGCCCGTCACATTCCCGCATTCTCCTGCGGGCCTCCTCTCCGGCTGAACTAACATTCCTGCAAAGCAAAAGGATGGATCAGCACCCTTCACAGTGGCCACCAAAAGAATGTTCTTCCACGCCCACCTCTTCTCATTTGTTTTTCTTTAGTCCGCGACATATAGCATGCGGGATCTTAGTACCATGACCAGAAATCCAACCCGTGTCCCCTGCATTGGCAGGCCAGAGTCTTAACCACTGGATCACCAGGGAACTCCCTTCCTCTCAAAGTTTTAATGAAAACACTTTACTAGCCTTTTAGAAGGTTTACCAAGAATGTAGTTTTAATGAGGGGGGAATGGCCTACACAAATGGATTTTAGAACTGGATGAGCCACAGATATCTGCATCAAAACAGAGAATGCAGAATTCTGAACCCGTGATCTGTGAGAGTCCTGTGACCACTAACAAAGCAGACTTTGTAAAAGTCTTCAAGGTCTGCTTCTTTTACAATCGACGAGGGAATCAGAAGCTCTTTGATTCAAAGGGCTGTTCTTCTTTGAAAAGTTTGAAATACTTTTCAAAGACAAAGTTTCCACCTTACTGACAGATCTTAGAGGTCTAATTTCACCTGTCTCAAAAAATATATCTCCCTTGGCCCTGCCAGAGGAAAATTCTAGAAGTTTACTCTAAGGACACAGAGATTTCTCTGAGAATTTAGTCATCAGAATACCCATGGCACCTTTTATGCAGGAGTGGCCCAAGCTCCTTCCTACAATGGTACAAGCTGAGCTAAAGGCAACAGAAAGGGCCCCTTTAATGGAATGCAGAGCTGTGAGGGGAGTGAACCTCCAGACCCACAAAAGACATCAGATGATCCAGACAAAGGTGAATTTCCCAAGTGCTTTAATTACCCCACCACCTGAGAAGGTCTTCCTCTCCCAACCATGGCCAGGATTTCATTCTAGCAGAAAACTTTTGCAGGGCTCCCCAGGTGGTGCTAGTGGTAAAGAACCTTCCTGCCAAAGCAGAAGCCATTAAGACGAGGGTCCAATCCCTGGGTCGGGAAGACCCCCTGAAGGAGGGCGTGGCAACTCACTCCAGTATTCTCTTGCCTGGAGAGTGCTATGGACGGGGAAGCCTGGAAGTCCATAGCGTCACAAAGTGTCGGACGCCACGGAAGTGATGCAAGCACAGAACACTTTTGCAGTGACTGATTTACAGACAGCACAGCCTACGGGGCGGCGGGGGTGGGGGGGTAGGCTGAAGGAGGTGAGGAAACAGAAGGCACAAAGAGGCTGAAAAGTTTAGGAACTGTGGCAAAGGGTGATGAGAAGAGATAATGATCGAGGCAAGGCAATAATGCTCAAGCTATGTAGCCTCAGAGTTGCCTGGAGGGTGTGTTCACGCTGACAGTTGGGCCCCACATTGGCATCATAGGTGGAGTTGGATAATTTGCATACTTGGTGATGCTGACGTTGAAGATCTACACTAAACTAGAGCTGTAATGGGGAAGAGTCAATTTTGACTCATCCGTGCTAGATCTGTTTCTTTGACTTTAACTCTGTTTTTTTTTTTTTTGCCATTTTTTTGTTATTATAATCATACATGATGGCCTGCCTCTGAGAGTGGGGCGCTTTGCCTGACTGTTAAGCTAAAGTGCCTTTGTTCAGAATCCTGTCCACCTGTAGGTGGCTGGAAGAAAGTAATTAACACATTCCCCCTGCCAGAGGCTTGCCACTGTAGGAGGTATTTGCAAGATTAATGGCCTTTTTTTACTTTGTTTCCTCGCCTCCCCCCATCTCTGATTTATAAAAGAATCTGGCATCCACACTCTGGCAAGATGGTTATTTTGAGACCTTAGTCTGCCATTTTCTCAGTCAGCTGGTTTTCCAGATGAAGCTGTATTCCTTGCCTCAACACCTCATCTCTCAGATTCACTGGCCTTTCCTATGGTGAACAAGGAGAGCTTAGACTCAGTAACAGCGTTACCTCTGGTTCTAGGGGTGGGCAGGAGTTTGGTTGGGGAGGGTACTGTACTTTGCTGGAGCCCGTCATGTAGCAGATTCAAAGAGTCTGTGGCCTTAGAGCCCACAGGAGTAGCTGAACAGAACAAATCCCTGAACCCACGCTATAACTGACACACTATTCTCATTTCATTTCCCCAACATCCTTGCCTGTTACATTTCATTCGGTTTTACAGATGAGAAAGGCGGGCTCAGATGGGGTGTCCGAGGCCCCACGGGTGGTAAAAGTGGAGACATTAGAACAGAACCCAGGTCTGTGAAGGAGAGAAAAGCAAAGGGCTTCCAGCTCAACATACAACAGGGACTACACTTTTTAGGAATTAAATAAAAACAAAATATATTTAATTGCAAAATGCTACTGAACATTCATGCTTTCTTTAATATTTAAAAAGTCCTGCAGACATGTTTAAAGAGGATCTATCAGCATTTTAACATAACACCACCGGGAAAGGTTATTCAATGAAAATTAGAATTTTTGGCATTTGCTGATCTTGAAACATAAACAAAACTCCTCAGTGCCTCAGACAATGTAACTGAGCAAATGTGGGCAGCATTTTTACATAAAGTGTTAGAGATTCCACCTTGGGATGGCCGATCCTTTCCTGGCAGCATCCCTGGGAGGGAGGAAGACATCTTTCTGTGAAAGAAGTGGTGACAGGCACACTGGTATTATTATTAAAAGGACGACCTTTGCAGGAGAGCATTTTTAGACCCAGAAGTGATTTTCACCACATCAAGTTCTGATGCTGTTAGAGCCCAGACAGACCTCTTTGGTCAGAAAAGTGCTGAGTGCAACGAATGACTGCCTTTTCCTACTTTGATGAGGTCATGTTTCCAAAGACAGGATGACAGAAAGTTAGACTTGAAAGGACTGTAGAGACAGACAGCTCATTTGCAGTTTAGTCTCAAACATCCTCTACCCCTTTTCCTTATCCATGAATACTCAGTCTTTCCTTACAGTAGCTTTACAATGGGGATGGCTGCCTCCTAATTCACAAATAAACATCACTCTGATCAGCCCTGTTTTCACTGGTCATCAATGAATGGGCAGGGCCAGCCAATGGGAAAGATCAAGAATTAACAACTTCGTCAACATCATACCTTTTCAATACTAATTTTCTTTGAGTTTCTGTTTGATTTTAGTCCAGTCTCTGCCAAATATTTTTAAAAGTTATTAACAGGCTACAAAAAGAAAATGTGTAATATACTGAGAAATGAGAAAGACTAATGGGGTCCCAGGAAGGACAAGGAAGTGATTAGGACACACACCTAAATCTCCCCCCACCCCCTCTCCAGTGATGCAGGGTGGGGGGTGGACAGGAAGGTACCACAGTGCCTCCAGTAGGATGAGGCATCATATATGTTAATATTTTTAAGTGAACTGAGGTGTGAACATGTCTCTCTTTCAATGGCTAAGAGCATCCTACAAGCCTTTGGAGTTAGGTTTCCACTTTTATTCCTGAGTGAGTGAAACATTTCAGAAGATTACCTTTGATTTTTACCCTTTGCCCCAACACAAAATTTACTGTACTTGTGCAATTCGCTGTTTAAAAACAAAAATTCCAATAACCTTGTGTGTTGGTCACTGGTTGTAGTTATGGTCCTATATAAGTGACTGCATATGAGTCTGATAAACAACCAGTGTCCAGCCTACAAAGTTCCTCCCTCCTGATGTACTTAAACCATCTTCTACTCATTTTGAGGGAGGTGATTTCCATGTCTGGGTAGAACCTGGTGCAGCAAAATTTCTGTGCATAAAAGTTAACACTGAAACAAAGCCTTATGATATTTTGTAAAAAAAAAAAAAAAAAGCACAATGATACTGTAATATCTATTTCTTAGAAATAATCACTATAACCTTGATCGAATTGTCAGTTGATACAGTCCCTTGGACTGCAAGGAGATCCAACCAGTCCATCCTAAAGGAAATCAGTCCTGAATATTCATTGGAAGGACTGATGAAGCTGAAACTCCAATACTTTGGCCACCTGATGCGAAGAGCTGACTCGTTTGAAAATACCCTGATGCTGGGAAAGATTGAAGGCAGGAGGAGAAGGGGACGACAGAGGATGAATGAGATGGTTGGATGGTATCACCAACTCAACAGGCATGAATTTGAGCAGACTCCAGGAGTTGGTGATGGACAGGGAGGCCTGGCATGCTGCAGTTCATGGGGTCACAAAGAGTCACACATGACTGAGCAACTGAACCGAACTGAACATAATTTGGAAATTTCTGCTTAAAGTAGATTCTATAATCTTTTCATCGCTCTTCTTTTCTCCACCCAACCCGATCCTTGGCATTTATAACCTGGCCTCCATGCAGGGTCTTCTCATACCTGGCCCACCTCCAGTCCTTGAGCCCTGGGTTCCAGCCCTGTTAAAATTCCTTACCATCCTTCCTACAGCACCCCCACAACTCACCAGACTGTTGCTCACCAGGCAACTTTGTCTCATCTCCCAGTTTATAATGAGCAGAGCCCAGATGCTGGGTCTCTACAGAATCTGGGCTGGGTTCCTGAGACTCTATACAAGTGTGAAGAGGGGCACGGGGCTGCCAGAGGCTTCAGAGAGCAGAGCTGAGTACACTTCAAGGGACACAGGTAATCTGGAGGCAAAACTGAAATATGAAGCCACGCACTGTCCTGAAGCCAGCCTACCAGGACAGGCATGGGGAGAGGCAGAATCCACAGAGAGGACAGCACAGACCTGATGTTCAAGCTGGTCCCTCCCTGATGTGGGGGAGGGGTGGGCACACTCTCCACAGTGAGCTGCTGGCAGCCCAGGTGGGCTGCTTGGAGTGCCAGGCAGTGCAGCACCAGACCTTCTCCTCCTGCCTGGTGTAGATCACCAGGAGTAAGCAGGGAAACACTTAGGACATTTGGGCTCCCCTGCACCTGCCTGGTGACCTCATGTCTTTCCAGAAGCATTTCCAGTATTACCTTTTTCTGACATCTCACCCAGAGAGCAGAACCAAGGATGACAGAGGATAAGTCCCTGGCTTTGAAACCTTGCAACTGGGATTTGCTGGGCTGGGTTTCCAAGCTGCTTTGG